TGGACAAAATATGTGACCCGTGGAATTTTCTAAAGCTCTACCGAAAAGCTTCTCGCCTCAAAAACACAATCTCGCCGAACCCAACAAAGCTGGGTTGGCAAAGCCGGGGACAATCGGATGTAACTTTTTCTGTAGATGTCTATGGATATATTATTTGCCTGATTCCGAGTCCGTATGAGAAAGTTACGCCTGTTTTAAGAAATAAAAAGTTACGAATTACCCCCTCCCCCGGCGAACTATCGCGGTCGTCCAAATTACCCTGCCCCCCCCCCCCGAACCAGAAAACCGGACATCGGACATTCTTCACCCCCATCTATACAAACCGGACGAATTACCCCCCTCGACCTAATCCACGGTGGTTTTGGTCTACGTGGTGTAGACGTGGCAGTCTAGACAACATTCTATTTATTAAAAAAATGTGGGACCCACCTATCATACGCCTCCCACTCTTCCTCTCTCTCAGTCTCAGTCTCACTCTTCCTCTCTTTCTCTCACATGCATGGGAGGCAGGGCGGAGGGGCGGCGGCGGAGGAGGCGAGGCGACGGCGAGGCAGGGCGGATGGGCGGCGGCGGCGAGGCGAGCGCGAGGCAGGGCGGAGGTGTAGCGGCAGCGGCGGAGGAGGCGAGGCGGCAGCGAGGCAGGGACAACATGGAGGTCGTCGGCATCGTCGAGAAAGACGGGGAGGCCGGAGTCTTCGTGAAGATGAGCGGCGGCGAGGAGTTCCATGATGGGCACCTGGACGAGCAAGCTGGTCAAGTCCGTCGCCGGCGTGGACCTCCCCATTCGTCATCGTCCTCATCCCCCGTCGCCGTCGCCTCCCGGTCACCCGCCCGGCCCCTGCGCCGCCCTGCCTCGCTACCGCCTCGCCTCCTCCGCCACCGCGCTCGCTTCGCCGCTGCCGCCGCCTCTCCGCCCTGCCTCGTGCTCGCCTCGCCGCCGCCGCTGCCCCTCCACCATTCCTCGTGCTTGCGCTCACCTCGCCGCTGCCTTGCCTCCTCCATCTTGCCTCGTCGTGCGTGTGAGAGAGAGAGAGGAAGAGTGAGACAGAGTGAGAGAAGAGAGAGGAAGAGTGGGATGAGTATGACTGGTGGGTCCCACATTTTTTTAATAAATACTATGCTGACTGGACTGCCACGTGTACGCCACGTAGACCAAAACCACCGCGGATTTGGTCGAGGGGGGTAATTCATCCGGTTTGTATAGTTGGGGGTGAAGAATGTCCCGTTTTGTGGTTCAGGGGGGTAATTCGGAAGACCGCGATAGTTCGGGGGGGGGAGGTTAATTCGTACTTTTTCTTTTAAGAAATGACACTCGAATGACGTCTATTTTCGTAGAGATTTAGAAAACTCTACAAGTCACATATTTCGTTCATTTGAGTTTAATTTTTGCACGGTTGGTTCTTATGTGCTCATAAGTGTGAAAAAAATAAAATAAAATAAAAATGTTGCACATCTCTCTCCCCTCTACACTATAGAGGAGAAGAGACTGAAGGGCGCCGGTCCACGCGGGGGGGAGGGGGCACCGACACGCGGGTCCCACATGGAAGTGACTCAAGGGTGCCGGTCCACGGTGGACCGAGTCCATAGGACTGGGGAGGGGAGCACACGTGGCGCCGAAGTGGCGGCCACGTGGGCAGCCACGCGGGCGGCGGGATGAGCGGCCCCGATCTACCGCACGGTAGATCGGACGGCTGCAGGCGGTCGCGGCCGATGGCGCACGGGCGGCTCAAGCCGGCCAGGCCATGGCGTGGCCACCGGCGGCACACGACGGCGAGCGGCGAGACACGGCGGCACGGAGCGGCGCTAACGGTGACACTTGGCGGCGGCTAAGCGGCGGCTAGGCGGCACCGAGAGAGGGGAGGGCTCACCGGCGACGGTTGACGGCGGCGGCGGCGAGACGGCGATGGCGATGGTTGGACGGGCTCGGGATGATCTAGGGAGAAAAATAAGGGGGATTAGAGAGTGAGAGAAAGGCCACCGAGGGCGGGGACACTGGCCGAAAGCGGTGGCCATGGTAAGCTCACCGGCGTGAGGGGAAAAGTGGGCTCTGGTGGCGGATTTCGATGATGGAGGGGTGGACGGCGTGGCCCTTGGGCTTGCGAACCCGACGGCAGCGACGGGACGGCTCAGCGGCGGCTCTAGCGTCAACTAGAGGTGGCTAAAGGGGCGGCGGCAGTGGTTGCACGGCACTAGGGTGGTGGAGTGCACGGGAGTGCTCTGCGAAAGAGGGAAAAAGCGAGAGGAAGGTGCGGGTGTCGTTTATATAGGCGCGGGGAGGTCGGAGGTGGCTGGGAACGGCCCGTATCCGCCGGACATGTGGGGGAGGTGGAGAGAGAGAGGCCGGCGGGATTCAAAATTCAAATCCCGACCGTTTCTCGGCGCGAGCGCGCGGGAAAGTGGGGCGACGGTTGTGGGACGTGCGGGAGAGAGCACAGGAGCCGCGGGAGAGGCGGGCGGCAGTGGTTGTGGCGTGGGGCGGTGCCGGCCGGAGGAAGGGGATGAGCCCGACAGGTGGGGCCCACCTGTCGGTGACCCGTGGGAGGATGGGGCGCGGCGGCCGTCCCAGCTGGCGCGTGGGAAAGGGGGAGGGGATTGGGCCGGCGGCCCAAAGAAAGAAAAAGACTAAGGAAAACGAAAAGAAAAGGAAAATGATTTCCAGGGCATTTATTAAATGCTTGTGCACTATTTTAATTGGTTAAAATTATTTCTGGGGCTATGAAAATTCCTCTAAAAATCCTGTTAGCATATTTCGACATGTAGAATCCAAGAAAAATTCCACATGCCATTTCTGATGGTTATTTAGATTTATTAAATTAGGGTTTCTCTCTTGACTTTAAGCAAATAATTTCTTGAGACCATTAATTAATTCAATTAGGCTTGGGAGAAGAACTTCAGGGTGTGACAGCCACCACCTGCCACCGTTGAGAGCCACCATGACGCGAGGGAGCCGTCACCCACCGCCGGGAGCCACTGCCGCCTCCGGGCGGCGTCCGGGTAGGAGAGGTGAGGGAAGGGGAGGGGAGAGGAGAGGTGTGGAGGGGAGGGGGAATGGGAGGGACGCGGGAGAGGATTGAGGGAGAATGAGGACTTAAGAAAAAATTGGCCCTAGGTCGGCTCTATTTATATTCTAAGTCTATTTTCGCAGGCGGACCACATAAGAGGTATGCTGCAAAAATGAAGGGTATCTGGATGAGAGGGTGCACAAATTTGAACCAATGGCATATAGGGGAAGAGCCAATTTTCAATGGCATATAAGGGATTCTCTAAAAAAAAAGGTGATAATTGGAACAATAGGAAAATTTTGACACATTGATGTTTCTTGAAAAGAAATCATTTTTATGTTTGTTAGGGGATTGGGAAAAGAGGTGGATATAAGAACTGGATATGGGCAGTTCATTTCCAACCAATATCAGGGAAGGTGAGTTTTGGTCGGAATTGGTGGTATGACAAAAATGACGTGTGATTGCCATGACTATATAGTCAGGAAGGGTATTTTCGTCCAATAAATATTTTGTCTCTATGCCAAACCATATGTACCTGAACATAGGAATGGTAAAGTATAACCTATCCTATCTTAAACCCACCACTTTATATGCCAAAATATCCCCTCCTCTTTCCACTATCCATCCAAATGCCACTATCGGGTTTGGGTTTGACAATTTTATTTGCCACTGGGGACAGGGACGTTTAACAAATGAAAGCCAACAACCAACCATTTTACCATCCCCTGTCTATTGGGCCTTGTTGGGCCAAAGCTGATGCACTATCCCTGCCTATATAAACCTATTGCTAAACCCTAAAATCGGTAGAAGCTGCCACTTCTCCCCCTCCATTCACTACCACCCCTCCGCCGCACTCTACCTAACTTTCATTTCCCTAGATCTAGTGATCACCTTCATTCTTCTAGCACCAATATGACATAGAGAGAGCAAAACGCCGTCCTTCCAACACCATCAAGACAATTGTTGCCATCGTCGGTACCTACCACCACATTTTATAGTGCCTTCCCTAGTTGTTGGTTGCCCAGATCTAGGATCTGGGGCAGGGCCTTTGGGCGGACAACGTTTAGGTGGTTTTTGATGTCGCTCCCCTTCCCTGTGCAGGATCCAGTTTTCCTTCACCGTGCAAGGATGGCGGCTCGTCTGCCCCACTCATCAGCTAGTCGATCTATGTCGACGGCCAAGGTATCATTCATCCTTATCTCGGCATGATGTGTTCTTACTTTTCTGATTTGGAATCCACAGGATCTTGGGCGGGGCTAGCTTTTCCTTCTTGCACATGGATGATGACCCCGTCTTCCCCATGCATCATCCACTAGATCTCAGTTGATGATGTTTGGATGGCAACCAAGGTATCATCCTTCCCCATGTGTGGCATGATATGTTCTTACATGGTTGATTTGGCATCCATACAATCCTTTGTGGGGCTGTATTTTCCTTCTTCTACATAGATGATGGTCTTGTCTTCTGCATGCACCAGCCACTAGATCTAGGTTATAAGTGCGCCGGGTAATCCGCTTATTTGTATTATAATTGGGTTTGCAGGTCTGTCCACTTGCATCCTTGATCTAGGTCGATGATGTTAGGGTAGCGGCCAAGGTTTCATCCTTGCCCATGTGCAGAATGATGTGTTCTTATATTACTTGTGTGATTTGGTATCCACAGGAATAAATGATCGAGGCATAGCGGTCAAGGGTGGACATTAGCATTATTCTTTCCCTCTTGCACCTTTGCCGCCACCTTGGTGAAAAGAGCACTTTGGGAGAAACTATTCTAAACTCTCGAGGGGACATTCTCTCGTTGCTTGCATTTCATCCAAATGGTTATGAAAAATTTAAAAAATTCAACTGGATAAATTAATATGTGATAGATAACTTCACAAACATGCAAGTTAAAATTAAACTTCTACAAGTTGCAAAAAGAAAAAACTACGGCTAATTAACGTATATTCACAATTAATCTATCTTATGATATACTTTTTTAAAAATATATATAACCATTTAGATGACATGTGAATAATAAGGAGATGTCCTCTTAGAGTTTAGAATCCACTCTCGCACTTTGGGTTACTAAGGAAACGACAATGCATTGAGAGTGTGGCACACTTGGCCCCAAGGCCTCTCCCGGGACCGTGCTTTTGCAAAGCTTCTTCCGTCGGTTCTCAGGGATAACCCTAAGCCCATGTATCTAGCTAAACGAGTCCTATGCATTGTTCCTTCTTTCTTTTTGAACACAAACACTTTTTTATCCGTGTAAATAAGTTGCAAAGATAGCGAGAACTACTCCAAGCAAGGAAATGTCTTTCTAGTAAAATCATAATTATCCTCTCAAACATGTCAGGTCATGTACTCACATGGAAGCTAGTTGTATAAATTTCCATTTCGGCCGAATCTCGTAGATCTTCATGCTGAGATTTAAACATATAAACTCAATTGCCACCCTTATACTTAGATATACTTATGAGGTTTTCTCCCATTTTTAGAAAGATACATATACACCTCATTCCTTGAGAGAGATCCCTCTATTAAGGTAGCTCGAAGTGCCAAAACTAATACTGAAATTAATTTATATTTTTTTGAGCTTTTCTCAAGTCTTTGAGTGCCGTAGGTTTATATCTCTTGATTTATACTAGGAGATATATACACCCTTATATTTCAGAAGTCTAAGAAAGAGTTCACATTGGCGATAGTAGAATTTCACACATTTAATTTAGGTAGTGAGGAGGTATATATCTGTAAAAATAAATGAGAACCACCATACTTAGATATGAATTAGTTGGTGATGCCGGATATGTTCTGAAATATGTCTAGGAAGATTCGTATATTTGGCAGTAATGTTATTATGGCCAAATCAGTAGTAGCTGTGGGCGGTTGGATGCAGCTGTACTGGTTGGCAGTCACTTTCCGTGTTCATACCTTTTTTTTCAATTTCAAAAAAAAATCTGTGTTCATATCTCAATATATCAGTACCACTGAGAATCGGCTGAAGTTGAAACTTGTGTAACCGTGACATTTTCTAACCTTTTTTAGACGATACAATTGTGATATACTATAAAACATTTCCTTGCTTGGAGTAGTTTTTTGTACCGTTGCAACATATTTCACACAGATAAAAAATCATTTGTGTTTAGAAAGAAACAAGACACAGTGTATAGAACGCGTTCACAAAGACAGGGTGAAGCACTGAAATTCGACTATAAAAGTAAGCTCCCATTCTGTAAAAACTACACACAGATCGAAGGAAATCAGATACATGAAGAAATAAGCTTCCTGCCGCCTGGTAAGTTACGTTCCCTCTCGTCTTGTCACAAATTCTAATCTGGTTTATGTTCTTAGAAGTACATAACTTTGCATACTTTAAATTTGTAGAGAGGTAAGTTCCCTCTCGCTTGTCAAAAATTCTAACATGTTTTCTGTTCTTAGAAGTACATAGTTTTGAATATCGTAGATTGTAGAGAGGTAAGTTCCCTCTCGCTTGTCACAAATTCTAATCTGGTTTCTGTTCTTAGAAGTACATAGCTTTGAATACCGTAGAGTAGAGAGAGAAAAAGCTCGTTTCTTGCTTGTGAAATCCTGAAATCCACCATCTAAGGATCTAGACTTTGTTGTAAGCTTTTGCTAATCAGATCTACATAGGACTTAGTGGTTTACAGGAAGTTTAGATGTTCTTCTAAGCTTGTGATTATCAGATCTCTGTGAAATTCTAGCGATTTATTACAGGTTTTTGCAGCTTCCTGTATGTTTTGTGTGGTGCCATGGCCAACGCCCTTTTTTCTTTTTTTTCCCCACGCAGGTTTGTCTCCAAGATTTGAACGGAGGAAGGTGGTGAAATCCGCCGACCTGACCTGCCTACCATGGGAGACGCCAACGAGAACCTGGCCCAGCAAGGAGATGCCAACAAGAACCCAACCCATCGAGGCCTTCCACCTCGCCACCTCATCATCCCCTACTCCATCGCCGCTGCCATGGCAAACCGGCCCATTCGCCTAGCCAGCCAGGCTCGGCTTTTCAGCGGTGGTGGCGGGGTGGCAGCCCAGCAGCCTCCGACCCAACATGCTATCGCAGCCCAAAGGCGCCTGCCCAGCCGCAATCCCTAGAGCCGCATCGTCCCGTTACTCCTCCCGGACGGCAAGAGCAACCACATCATTGACACCAGCTTCACTTCCGAGGAAGCGTTCGTGCCCGCAGCACCGCCGCCGCTGCTCGTCTCCGCCGCACGCCGCCCCGTGGCGCCGTCGGCGCAGCCCATTGCTACCATGTTCGCGTGGCCAGTGCCCCCGCGCGGGTGGACCGTGTCGCCGACCACCGGCCGCTATCGCTTTGGCTACGGTTTCGGCGGCGAGAGCTCATCCTCTACTGCACTGCGCACGCCCGCTGCTCCTACTACCACGCGGGGGCCTACTCTTCTTTTTCTTCCCGCGCCGCCCGTGCCTGCTCCTCTTGTTCATGCACCACCCACGCTTGCTCCTCCTCTTGTTGTGCCACGCGGCGGGTGGACCATACCACCGACCACCAGCAACGATTGCTTCGGTGATGGCCATGCGAGCTCGTCGACTGCTGCGCCGCTCACGGCCGCTGGTCATTCTACACCGCCCGAGCCTGTTCCTTCTGTTCCTGTGCCGCTCGGTTTGACCATGTCACCGACCACCGCCCACTACAGCTTCAGCTACGGTGGAGCGAGCTCATCATCTGCTACGCCACGTGCGCCCATTGCTCCTCTTGCACTGCGCGCACCTGCACCTCATCTTTGTGTGCCGCGCGTGCTTTCTCCTCCTGCTCCTACGCCACCCGTGCTAGCAACTCATGTTCCTACGCCGCCTGCGCCTGCCCCTCCAGTTCCTACGCCGCTCGCACCTGCTCCTCCTGCTGATGTGCCACCCGGGTTTACTGTGTCACCGACCATCACCCGCTACAGCTTCGGCTATGATGGAGCGAGCTCGTCGTCTGCTACGCCACGCGTGCGCACTACTTCTCTTGCACTGCGCGCGCCTGCACCTCATCTTCGTGTGCCACGCGCGCCTGCTCCTCCAGTTCCAGCGCCGCTCGCGCCTACCCCTCCTATTCCTACACCGCCTGCGCTTGCTCCTCCTGTTGATGTGCCGCCTGGGTTTACTGTGTCACCGACCACCACCCGCTACAGTTTCGGCTATGGTGGAGCGAGCTCGTCTTCTGCTATGCCACACGCCGCCACTGCTCCCCTTGCATTGCGCACGCCTGCACCTCATCTTCGTGTGTCACGCAAGCCTCGTTCTCTTGTTCTTACACCGCCCGCACCTGCTCCTCCTGTTGCTACGCCGCCCACACCTGCCACTCCAGTTCCTACGCCGCCCATGACTGCTCCTCCTGCTGATGTGCCACTCGGGTTTATTGTGTCACTGACCACCACCCACTACAACTTCGGCTATGGTGGAGCGAGCTTGTCGTCTGCTATGCCACGTGCAACCACTGCTCCTCTTGCACTGCGTGGGCCTGCACCTCATCTTCGTGTGCCACGCATGCTTGCTCCTCCTATTCCTATGCCGCCCGCACCTGCTCCCCCCGTTCCTACGCCGTCCATGCCTTCCCCTACAGTTCCTGCGCCGCCCGTGACTGCTGCTCCTGCTACAGCACCGTCCGTGGCTGCTCCTGCTGCTGTGTCGCATGGGTTGACTTTGTCACCGACCACGACCCGCTACAGCTTCGGCTACAGCGGCGTGAGCTCGCCGTCTGCTGTGCCGTGCACGTCCAGTGTTCCTCTTGCACTGCACGTGCTTGCTCCTCATCTTTGTGCGCTGCATGTATCTGTTCCTCGTCCTTGTGCGCCGTCCGCATCGGCTCCTCCTGCTGCTGCACCATGTGGGTAGACCGTGACACTGACCACCGGCCGCTACTGCTTCGGCGACAGCGGTGCGAGCTCGTCGTCCACTGCACCGCGCGCGCCCACTGCTCCTCTTGCACTGCACGCGCCTGGTCTTCATCTTCGTGTGCCGCCCGCGGCTGCTCCTCTTCCTGCTGCACCTCGTGGGTGGACCATGCCGCCGACCACCGGCCGCTACAGCTTCAGCTATGGTGGCCTGAGCTTGTCGTATGCTACGCAGCGCGCGCCCATCGCTCCTCTTGCGCTGCGCTCGCCTGTTCCTCATCTTCGTGCGCGGCGCGTGCCCACTGCTCCCCTGCTGCTGCTACGCCGCGCGCGCCTACTCCTCCTGCTGCTGCTACTGCCCTGGCTGCGCCTCCGGCGACACCGTCCGGCCTGCCTTCCTGGCCGGTGCTGGTTCGTCCACCAACCGGGCCAGCGCGTGTGTGTCTGGCGCCCGCCGCGCCAGCAGAGGCATTCGAGGAGTACCTCGTGCAGCGCCGCGCGATCGAAGCTACGGTCGACGATACGCCATGGGAGATGATCGGCAGAAGCAGGAAAACTGGTGGCCCCATGTTTGCGGTGGCAGGTGGTGGCCGCGACAAGGCGGAGATGGAGGCCAAGGAGGCCAGGGAGCGTCACAAGAACAGGATGGACAAAGGAAGGCCGCCGCCGCCGCTCCCGCCCAGCAGCCACCGCCGATCGCGTCGTCAATTTTAATTGCCTTGTTTTGCACGTGATCACCATGTACAAATATGCAATCCTAACGCGGTTTTTGCCGTCTCAGTTATTCGTACTGCAGATGCTCCGGGGAGCTCAGGTGATGGTAGCAAGAAGCGTAGAGGTGGGAGGAAGGAGAAACAAGCTTGATCATCAAGAAGCTGGACCGTTCGTCTTCAATCCATTTGGCACCGGAGATTTCGTCTGCATCAATTCTTGCATGGGTCGTCGAACTATGTTCTGGAGTTGTTTGTGTTAAAGTCCCAAACTTATGTTGGGTTTCATTTATTCTCGGTTGTTAAAAATTATTGAAACAAAATTACTTTTAGCAGGAATATAAAAGAGACCAAATGCTCCAAATAGAGCATATGAAAAGATCAGTTGTTGAACACCCTGAAATAGAAATTCCTGAACTAAAGAATTAAACATTAAACAGTTAAATCCCTGATGTAATAAGGGGAAAATATGCACTGTGAGAGTGCCTCCTCACTGTAGATTTTTTCATTTTACTCTAGAAAAATGTACTGTTTACTATTCCTACTCTGAATTTTTTTTCTAGTGTTCTTGTAGGCCTGGTCCTAAGGTTGATATAGCCTGAATATCACGATGCCCTACTGAACCATGAAATGCTGCATCCTCCAATGTGTCAAAAGACATGGAAGAGGGGAAAGAAACTATAGAGAAAAAAGGCAGAAACTATCTTAGGTGTCTTTGAAAGTTGTGTTGACTGCTAGTATTAGTAGTAATTAACAAAGGTGTGACTGTTTGAGTAGCCTCCCATTCCCTGCATCTGACTGATAATAGGAGGAATAATCAACAAGTACTTACTCCGATGTTCACCATGATTGAAGCACATCTCCCAATTACGGATTACATACAGAGAGAACAACCACACTATCAGTATCAGACAGAGAACATTGCCAGAGCCCTCTTGTGCCGGTGGTTAAGTGATAACATAATTGGATTAATTAAAAAGATCCGTTGGTGTCAAGGGCTCTGGCAAAAGATTAGACTGCAAGCACTGTCAGTATATCACAAGCATGCATTAGCTGATCACTTCAAACTGTTTCACTGTTTGTATATTCTTCTCCATTGGCACAAACAGTAAACATCCATGAGAATCACCAGCTAATTAATGCCTGGAGTAACACTGAACATTTCTTGCTAAGTGTCTAAATATTTTCCTTTTATTTTTTTTTCTTTGCTGCCAAAGGAATCAATGGTTCACCGGGCATATGAGAGTAGTCCACACAGCATATATGCATACAAGTTTAACTTCACAGTTCCTAAGAAAAACAATTAATTATGAGCAGGCAGTGTTAATGTTAGGTAACAAACTTATAATAAAAACATTTAGTGTTAGTTTAAAAAAGGGTAATAAATCAGAGCGTACCAAAGATCCCTCAGAGCAATGACCCTCTTGAGTGTATCGGTCAGATTACATGCCATTCTAACATACGCAAGCTTTGATACTCCAATGTCACACCCGGAGTTTCCCCTTTTCCGCATTTTCTAATTCACCAATAAATTGTCTATAGAAATTACTTTGGTTAACCTGGAGAAAACCCAAATTAACAATGTATTTAATAATCGGAAATGTTAGAGAGATTTTTTTCTCGAATTCTCTTTGCTCTAAAATCATTAACAGGACTTAAAGCGGAATATTCAGATCATCGGAGTTAATGTTGTTAATTTAAATTGTCAAGACTTGAATTAATAATTTTTTCCTCTCCCGCCTTTGATCGTGAATCGTGCCCGATTCACTCCTCTCTTCGTCTGCGGTTTCGTTTTGCATGACGAGCTGAGTCCGATTCCGTTCGCGGGACCGTTTCCGTTCTTTTCCTAAAACGGCACCGTATTTCTTTTTCAATTAAGGAAAGTCCTTATCCTAATCCTATTCCTATTTTCCCTCTCCCTCCCCATCCGAGTTGACCTCCTTTCACCCTCCTAATCCGACTCCCCACCGACTCCACCTCCCTCTATTTTCTCCTCTCCTATATAAGTTAGAACACCCCTGTTTTTTCTATTCTTTTTTGTTTGTCCCTAGCCCTAGCCGCCGCTGGCCGCCCTAGCCCACCATCGCCGATGCCGTGCCGCCACCTCCCGTCGTGGCCGTCGTCGTCGTTCCATCACTGGTAATCCGTTTTCCCTCTCCATGTCATGGCTACCGCCATTATCTATCTATATTCTAATTTATCTCCGCTCTAGGTTTGATCTAGTGTCGCCGTTGTCTCCGCGTGTTGCCGCCGGACGCTCCACGTGTTGCCGCCGGACTGTCGTCGTCGTCTCCTCCTCGCCGATCGTCTCGGTTTTGTGAGGAACTTATCCATAATCTCCTGGTTTAGGTGTTAATTATTTTAGCGTCGTCGTAACCCTAATTGTCTAATCCTGTCAAAACCCTAGTAGAGCCGCCGTTCCCATGCCGCAGCGGGCCTAGCCTCCATGTGCCTGCGCCGCTGCCGCCGCTGCCCTGTGCTCCCGCTGCCCTAGCCGTGCCGTCGCCCTAGCCGCTGCCGCCGCCGCCGCCGCCGCTCTCCCACGTCGCCGTCGTGTTTTGTCTCTGCCCGTAGCTCGGTAGCCGAGTCCCTAAACTCCTACCGGCCTATCGTTTGCCGTACCGAGTCTTTGCCGTAAACTGTGTCTAGTTTTCTTGGTTTAGCCGTTGTCATTCTGAGCCGCCGGTTCGGTTGAACGTTTGGATGGTCCCGTGTCACGAAGTATTGCCTCATTGAGTCGTTAACTCGTGAGGCTTGCTTACCAGAGGTATATTTCCATTGATCTATTTATCTATGGGCAATAATATGTAATAATTGATTAAGGTTTTTCGGTTATTTGTAATAACACAGCTCATATTGTAAAATTCATAACTAAATAATCCGAACTCCGTTTTAACCCATTAAAATTGCAGTGAATTCGTTACAATGTATAGAATACATTAAAATTGGTTTCTTTTCCTGTTTCAGTAGCCTTATTGCTTGTATTTCTTGTGTGCTTTGTTTGTTGTTTAGATTCCGTCAGTTCCGGTGATCCAGTTTATTTCGAAGTGGTTGCCGAGGTTCAGTCAGCTCAAGAGCAAGGCAAGTCATACATACATCATTGATCGTGTTGAGCCTAATTTATAAAATCCCATGCTTTCTATTAAATTGCATTGTCTTAGAATGTCACGTGGGATCGATGCCTATCGTACTCAGCCTGTTGAATACCTTATGTCATTGATAACTTGGGTTATAATTGACTAGTTGAATACCTTATGTCATTGATAACTTGGGTTATAATTGACTAGATGATTGGTTTAGGAATGCTTAGCCATGCTTAGATTAATTAGCTCACAATGGGATTTGTTATAATTTAGTCCTTAATTATATTATGATGTACCACCATGGTTATGGTTTTATTAAACTAAAATATGCTTAATTTGTGGGTTGTGGGTATATGCATTATTTTGGAAGTTGTGCCCACGATAATTAAGGATTGGTTCTCAGGAATCCCTGGAAGATATAACAGTGCTTACCACAGGTGAGCGTGGGCTCCAGGCTCAATCTAAAGTATAACTTAACCTAGCTGACATACCATGGCAAGGGTAGAGGCGATGGTGCAATTCGGACCTGGACATTGGTCTCTGCTGTAGCCGGATTAACCTAGGCACGAGAGGTGACGGCCTCTCTCACGCCGTCTCCGTTCGGTCCACATCCCCCACCCTTGACATCTCGGACCTCGCCCACGAAATGCCACGCCCAGCCACCGCGGCGCCCAAGATGTCCAGGCCGCAGCCGTGCTCGCCGCCGCGTTGAATCGAGATGAATTTGGACATGAGACCAGATGCGTTTGAAAGGTAGCGAGATAAGCTTTTCACGAAGTCCAAGATTATCCAAATTGGAGTTGGCATGAAGGCGCTAGGTCCATTTGAAGTCAGTGTTGTCTCTGGAGGCCGAACTGGATTCCAAAACTCATTGGACTTTAATATCTCGTAGATCATCCATTCATCCGATGTATTCTTTGGCAATGGTTTATATTTTTCATGCTTGGTTGTATGTATATACTTGATGGTCATATCAGCTTGGGCGGAGGGTGGGCTTGGGCAGCGATGTGGTCCCTGAGGTGGGCTTCAGCGGCGGTGTGGTCCGCCGCCGCAGGCCGTCACCGTGCCCGCCGCCGTCAGGGAAGGGAGGCCGCCGCTGCGCATGGGAAGTCGGGGAAGGGAGGCCGCCGCCGCGGGGAGGTCGTCGTCGCCACGCCCTAGCCGGATCCGCCGCACCGCCACCGGATCCACCACTCCCGCTGCCCACTCCCACCCCCGGATCCGGGCGGGACGAGGCCCGCCACCGCCGGATCCAAGCGGGACGAGGCCCGTGTCACCGCTAGCTCGTCATCGTCGTCGAGGTCGCCGCCCACTCGTCGTCGGGGTTGCCGCCCACTCTTCGCTCGAGGCCGCCGCCGGATCCGGGTGGGATGAATTTAGTATTGGTAATTTTTCTATATGACTTTGTTTGAACAGTTTGAATTTGAATTTCAAATTATGACAGCTTCAAACAACATTTTTCAAATACTAAATGATTTCAACTAAAAAAGTCATCAATAACAAAGTCGTATAACTCATCAAGATCTATAACTTTTATTTGGGTCATTTCTTCATCCAACAAAGCGATTTGTAACATTGTTCACAAAATGTATATATCTTTTATATAGTTTATGAACTATAAGAGAGTATGTAAATTTTGTGAACAATGTTACTATCACTTTACCGGATAAAGAAATGACCAAAATAAAAGTTATAGATATTGATGAGTTATACAACTTTGCTTTTGATGACATTTTCAGTTGAAATCATTTAGTATTTGAAAATGTTGTTTGAAGTTGTCATAATTTGAAATTCAAATTCAAATTATTGAAACAAAGTCATATAGCAAAACGACCAAAACAGAAGTTGTAGATATTGATTAGTTATACAACTTTATTATTGATGAATTTTTCAGTTGAAATTATTTAGTATTTAAAAATGTTATTTGAAGTTGTCATAATTCGAAATTCAAATTTTATATACGTCAATCAAACTCAGATGGAGAAATGACCAAAGTAAAATAGGTAGATCTCAATGAGTTATACAAATTTGTTTTTGACAACTTTTTTCACATAAGTTCATTTAGTACGAAAAAATTCGATTCGAAGTTTTAATATTTTGAAATTAATTGAAAGGAGGGAAGCAAAATAGACTTCTCGGCGAGGGAGCAGCAAAAGACCTGTTATGGGCCAGCCTTTTGCTCATCCCTTGCCGATAAGTCCATTTTACCTCCCTCCTTTCAATTAATTTTAAAAAATTAAACCTTCGAATCGAATTTTATCTTACTAAATGAACTTATGTGAAAAAGTTATCAAAAACAACTAATTATAGAATCCGCCGGTCAACCGCGAGATGAATTTATTAAACCTAATTAATCCGTTATTAGCAAATGTCGAATTTATTAAA